TACATAGGCATGACTGATTAAATCAGCCCCCTCCCCTGAGGTGGGTCTTCTGGCATGGCCAGCCCCCCCACCTGAGTCACCTCATTAGTAAAACCTGATGAAACCCTGATGAATTCCAAAGTTTTAGAGGTTATCTCTCAGGCGCCAAGGACAAAGACCAAATTCTTGGGGTAATGTTAAATTGTTTACCCCGCATCTACTTATTTTCAAGACGGGTTCAGGGACCTCTCCTTTCCAGACCTTTCCTGGACTGATAGGCCTTTGTGACCTCTGAACCCTTTTAGAACCAGCCGGCTGTTTCTTGATTGTACGTAAGACCCATCTGCTGCTTCTCCAAGTCACACCAGGGTGCTTGAATCTTCTGTCCTGAGCATCAGCTCTGTGCTGGGCACTCTGTGCTGGGCACTCTGTGCTGGGCACTCTGCTAGCTAGGCATTAAACCAAAAAAATCCAGTTGCCATCCAGATGATTCAGACTCATGGTGACCTCATGTGTTGCAGAGTAGAACTGCGCTCCATAGGGTTTTTAAGACTGTGACCTTTTGGTAACAGATCACCAGGCCTTTCTTCTGAGGCACCTCTGGGTGGGTTCAAACTGCCAACCTTTTGGTTAGTAGTTGAGCATTTAATCATTTGTGCCACCCAGGGACTCTAGCTAGGCATTAGGGTTATTTGCAGGAGGCAGCAGGGCCTGAAGCCCAGTCTCACTGCCTTTGTCAGCCTCAGTTGACTCATTGTGTAGTGCCTACATTGAGGGACTCATATGGGGATCAAATACAGTGGGACAGTGTCACATCTTTTACAGATGAGAGTTAGAGGTGGCAAGTGGCTTGCCCAAGGGCCCTCAGCAAGCACCAGAAGCCAGTGCTCTCACGCTGTTCCTCTGCTCCCCGAACAAGCTCGAACAAGCTCGTCTTGGCGTGAATGACCTTTAATGGAACGCTGGTAGGGAGGGAGAAGGAAGGGACTGTCTGTTCTCCCAGGCCAGCCGTAGACCTTGAGGGAGCCACAATAAACACTGTGTTTGTTTGATAAAGCAACTTGGCTTTTGGTCTCAAGCAGGAGGAAGAGCTAGAACAGGTGTGGCAAGACCAGGACAGCCTGTGGCACACCAGTGGGAGGTGGGGTGGGACAGAGCCCCAGGGCCTGGCAGGGGGCTCCAGTGCTGTGGATTTTGAAGAAAGATAGGAACTTTCTCACGACCCCTGCCAACTCCCTCATGTTCCCAGTCTCCTGCCTAGGCTGAATATACCAAAATATTAACGATACAAACCCTCATTGACTGAGCTCCTGCCGTGTGCCTACACCTCGCCAGGTGCTTCTCATGCACGCAGGCATACGTCTTCAGCCTGCAAACGTTTCTGACCCTCCTCCCTGGGTGACCTGTACTGGGTGCTGTGGACAGACAGAAGCTTAGGAGGGGCCCATAACCTCAGGAGATGACCTTCTTTATGACAGGAAGCAAAACAACATTATAGTGTCGTATGTGCTATGATGGAGTGAGAAGAGGCTGTGTGGGAAGCAGAGGAGGGCTCCTCAGCTCAGCCCATTGAAGAACAAGTTGATATTATCATGCCCATTTTGTAGATGAGGAAACCGAGGCTCAGAGGAGTGAATTGCTTTGCTCACCTTGTCAGTTTGGTTTCGCTAATTTTCCTCTGCGGGTGGGTGATAAGGATTAAAATGAGGATGAAAAAGACAAGTTAGAGGGGCCCCCATGGATCATCTGGTTCAGCTTCCTTCCTGAAATAATGAGGAAACTGAGGTCCTGAGGGGGAAAGGAATGGCTCAGTCACACAGTAGAGGAGTGGCTGAGCAGGGTCTAGAAACCAGTTTTCCTACTCCCAGCCAGACCCCAAATGCCTTTTTCTTCTCCAGCTGTCGGAAGACTTCCTGGGGACCTCTCCCTGGGTCCCTCAGCTTGTGGGCTATTTGCTGTGGCCTCTGCCGCCTCTGCTCAGGCCCTTGACTCCAGAAAGGATGAAAAGGGGTTAAGCTGGGACAGACCCAGAAGCCAGGCAAGGATGTGTAGTGGTGGGGCGGTGGGCTGGGGGTGACAGGATGGAGTAGGATAGCTCACCACCTCCCAGAGGGCCACAAGGGAGTCCAGGCTTACAGAGAGATCAGGAACAGGGGAGGGTCTGCAGCCCCAGAGCCCTGCCTCCACCAGGAGTGGGTCTGTCTCCCTTCTCTGCGGCATCCCTCTGGCTTGGGAGTGCTGGGGATGGGCTAGAGTGGGCAGGCCACCCCAGGCCTCAGGCTCTGGCTGCGGTTCTGCTGAGTGTGGCTGGAGGGATGGTGTCTATGCTGATGGTAAATGAGTAACCCTGCTCCTGCCTCCAGGGCTTTCTGGGACAAAGAGGTTACATTGTGCCCATCAGTTCTGGTTTGGCCCAACCTGGCTTCCAGGCTCTCCTGGGCCAGACTGCTGAGGACTGAGGCAGATGCAGCCCCTTGGCCCTCTGCCTTTACCCAGTCCTATCCCAGACAGTTAGAGAACCTGTCTCCTCTCAGTTGCCTTCCTCTCACTGAGTGCCTCCCCATTCTCTATGCCCTGCCATCCCTTCTTTGATCCCTATCCCTCACTGAACTCCCTCACTTTCACAGATCCCCCTTCCCTCCCTCATACCCCTTCACTTCCTCTTCACTGGCCCCGCCCTCTCACTGAGACCCTCCCTCCTTCACTGATCCCCCCCCTCCCCCCACTGAGCCCACACCCCCTTTCTGCTCTGCAGGATCTGTCTCCATCAGTCATTCCCTTTGACTGCACATTCAGTTTTGTATCTCCCTCCCTGTTTCCTAGCAGAAGGAACCCTTAGGCTGAGGGAACGTAATCCCCAAACCAGGTCTTTTCCTGGAATCTTACAGAGAATGCTCTAAAGCTAGGGTACACTTACTATTAATAGTAACCTACTTCCTTTTTCTTGGGTCATAAGGGGTAACTCCCTGACCGCGTTCCTTACCTAGAAGGAGAATCTTTCGGGAGCTAAGTGGAGACTCTATGTGGTATTCTCCCAAGACATCTGGCTGCCACAAGGACCTTTTGATTTAGCCTGGGAAGGGGGATGCTGTAGGCAAAAAGTTACAGTAACTTAGAAATAAGTTTAAGTATTGCCAACCCTGAAATACCTGTCCTGTGACCCTAGCTCCCCCTCGAGTTGCCAGCCTTGGCCCGCGATTCCCTTTTTAAGCGAAGTCTTGGATGCATGGTCTTCAAGTTCTGTTGTTAGGTCTCACTTCACCTCCTCTCACTTTCCCATCTACTGCTTTGGCCCCACCGCTCTCGCTAAGGCCACCAATGACCAACTTCATGCTCTTAATTCCACCGCCACTTCTCAGGCCTCTTGCTTGACCTCTTCCACAGCCTTGAACACTGCTGCCAACACCCGCCTTCTTGAAACCTTTTTTTCGTTTGGTTTCTAGTGACCTCATCCACTCCCCTGGTTTCGGTTGCCATCTGTATGCTAACAACTCCCAAGTTTATCACTCCCGAGCTTCAGATCTATATATTATGTCCTCCTACTTCCTGGACGTCTCTACCTGGATTCTCAAAGGCTTGTCAAGCTCTATACGTTCAAAACGGAACCCATCATCTTCCTCATCAACTTAGTCCCCTGTGCCCCCTAATTTGGTAAATGGCACCATTATCCTGTCAGTGACCTAAGGCAGAAAACTTAGGGTTACTCTAGATTCTTCTCTCTCACCCCACACATCCAACTGACTCTCAAGCCCTGCTCATCTTACTTCTTTAACCCCACTGTTCCTGCCTTATTTCTGGCCACATCAGGATGACTGCCTAGCCTCTTAGATGGTCTCCTTGCCTCCACCTCCCCCTTGCTCCCCAGCTCCAGGAAAGGTTATTTTAGAGCATAAATCTGAACAGGTTCTTCCTTTCCATGACTTCCATCACAGACTGAGGTCCAAAGCCTGGCGTTCTGCACAAGAGATTCTCCATGCCTTGGCCTCCGTTGAGCCCTGGGCCTCACCGCCACTTCCTCTTTCCCTTTGCCGTCCAGCCATGCAGAATCTCTCACTCACTGAAGCACAGCAGTGCACAGGCCCCTTTTCTCACGCACGCATTCTCAAACATACAAGTGCTTCTCACATTGTTTACTTGACCACAGGGTGTCACACCCCATTTGAGTCTTCCTCTTTCCTTCCCTTGAGGTTCCCCTCTACCTCTCCTCGGAGTGAGAAGATTCTGCTCACCTTGGCTTTTGGTGATGTGTTTTACAGAAACAATGGGTCTTTTTGTTTTCTTTTTCCAAATATGAAATCACAGTATTGAATGTGCTCTTGGGTGTGCAGCTGCACTCTGGAGGACAGATCGACTGCTCAGTGTTCCAATCGCAAACCCAAATGACACCTCCTTGAAAAGTGCATCTCTACTACCGCCTCCCCCCACCTCCCTCTGCGACAGCACTGGAAGTGCTCTTGTGTCCATCTGTCTACATCGGGCCTTGACCATAAGGGACTGAATCCTCAGTGAGTAGCCAAGAGGCGCCACCTAGTTCAGTTTACCTCCCCACCTTCTCGGTTACTGAACTCCTGCCCCTCTCTAAGCTCCATCCCGGTAGCGCGAGATCAGTTTGTGGCCCAGGGAGACTTGGAGGCGGCGCTCTGCAAGGAGGTGGAGGCCTGTCGGTACTCGGGACAAAGAGGCGCTGGCAACTACAAAACGAAACGCTTTTATTGAAAAATATCAAGTTGCTAGTTTCAAGGCTGCCGATTGCCGGCTTGGGGCTGTAGCCTGGCTTTGGGGCCGTGGGCAAGTAGCGGCGGCCACTCCAGCCTCTAGCTCCAGGGGGCGAGCTTCAGTGTCCGTGCGGGTTGGTCCCTGAGCCCCGCAGTCCTGCTCCTCAGGCAGCAGAGGGGTGGCGGCTGGGGAAGGGGGCGTCGGGCCGGGACCTCTCGGTCTAGAGGGGACTGCCTGGCATGTGGGAGTAGGCTGGTCTCCGAAGCAAGGCTGACCCTGGACTGGGTGGGCGCTCCAGCTGGTGGGAAGGGAGTCTCCTGGCGTCCCCCCACTCAGACGTAGTCCTTGCGGTCGTAGGCGGTGCCGGTCCCAGTGCCAAGCCCAGTGGAGCGCGGCGCGGAGTAGAGTATTTTGGAGGGCGCGTGCTTCTTCTCGGACGGCGGGCACGAACAGCAGAGCAGCGCGCCCCCCAGCAGCTGCAGCGCTGCGGCCGCCCAGCCCACGTACAGGCCCGCGCCCATCTCGCGCTTCTGCGCCTCGGGCACAAGGGGGTTGTAGAAGTCCCGGATGATGGTGTTCGCCGACCAGGACACCGGCACAAGGGTGAGCAAGGCGGCCAGCAGGAAGAGCACGCCCGACACAATGGTGATCTTGGCCTTGGCCGTGTCGTCCTGCACGCAGTTGGTGCACTGGGCGCCCACGAGCGCAACGAGGAGCGCGAAGGCGGCCAGCAGGATGGCGACGACGATGAGCGCGCGGGCCGCCTGCAGGTCCTGGGGCAGCGCCAGCAGAGAGTCGTACACCTTGCACTGCATCTGGCCGGTGCTCTGCACCACGCAGTTCATCCACAGGCCCTCCCAGGTGATCTGCGCCGTGATGATGCTGTTGCCAATGAAGGCCGTCACGCGCCACATGGGCAGCGCGCAGCACAAGATTGTGCCCAGCCAGCCCAGCACCGCCAGCGCGGTGCCCGTGATCTCCAGGCCCATAGACATGGCTGCCACTTCAAAGCCGGGTCAGCCGGGCGGCTCCAGGTGCCGGACAACTAGGGGCCGGGGCTGCGGGGCCGACTGGAGATGCGGCGTGCCGACGGACGGACGGTCAGATGGACGCACGAACAGCGCGCGCTAACGGCTCGGCTCTGCACGTTGGCGCAGCGGCCGCGCTGGCACCTGCCGGTGGCTTTGTGGGCAGGCAGCGGCGACTGGGCTGGCCCGGAGCTGGGGCCGGTGTGTCTTAGCTCGGTGCTCAGCACTCGGCGGGGGTGGGAGGGGTGGAGCCGCGCGCTCCCTGGCTGGGGACAGTGACGTGGCTCCCCCCTCCTCACCTTCCCCGAGGGCCGGGGAGAAAGGACTCGGCCCGGACTGGCGCACGGCGCAGGGGACTGGGGGTGCTCCGGTGGGCGGAGCCGGTGCCGCCCCCCGCCCCTTGTCCTCGTCCCCACTGCTCAGAAACGAATTCTCCTGGAACGCCGGAGGATGGGGTGCTTCAACGGTTTGGGTTGTAAACCACAATTTGCTTGACCCTCCCCCATTTTCGGCGCCGTTGGCACGGTCAGGGTGGCAAGGACGCGGGACGGGAAGAGCCCTCATATGGGCGTGGCTGCGCTGTTTACCGGAGTCGAAGGCTGCCTGGGAGCAGCGGCACCTGCTCCTCGGTCCCTCGGCCTCCTCGCAGGCAGCACCAGTCGCCGCTCCAGGGCGGCCTGATGCAGGCCCGCGAGGTTGTCCAGTCCTGGAGGTTCTGGGCCCCTAAGTCAGGGGCCGTCTGCAAAGGCTCCCGGAGATGCCCCTGAGCCCAGTGCTGAACTCGAATCCTCCAGCCCGCTCCAGCTCCGCTCCTTCAGCCTTTATTCTTTGCAGTGAGCCTGGATCCCTTTAGCTGAGCTGCGCCCCTCTCCCAGGCCTTCCTACCACCAAGACCCTCCCCTCACAGAGCCCCTGTCCTCCCTCCGTCTAAGCCCCAGTCAATACCAGGGTCCAGCTTAGTGAAGGGGTGCTGAAAGAGGTTAGATCCAGGCAAAAGTGGGAAGTTGGAACATTGCCTTCAACACCCTTGTTCCCACACCTGGGCTGCCTTCATTCTGTTCAGAGCCCTCCAGAGCAGAAACCCCAGTCCTCACAACGGCCTTGGAGGTTCTGCCTGGTGTGCCTACCCCACACATCTTATGTTTCCGCTCTCATCTCCTGGCTTCCCCTTACTCCAGTTATGGGGCCTCCTGGCTGCACCTCCAATGTGCTAACTCCCACCTCAGGGCTCCTGAGCTTGCTGTTCCTCTGCATGGAACCCCCACCCTCCACCCCAGATACCCATGTGGCCTACTCCTTCCCCTCCTTCAGGTTTTTCTGTCAGAGAGACCTTCCCTGTCCATCCTATTTAAAATTGCAGATCCTCACTCACAATGCCCTGTTCCCGTTTTGTCCTTTATATTTGTTTAATATTTGTCACCATCTGACATACTCTCTATTTTTCTTATTCTTTATTGTCTCTCTCCCTGCTCTGGAATGTTGGCTCCATGAGGGCAAGGATTTTGCTGGTTTATTCACTGCCATGTCTCCAGTGCCTGCTGGGTGCTGGGTACTCAAGAAATGTTTGACTGAGTGACCTGAATGAAGAAAAGGCTTTCTTTTCTCATATTGCCACAGCCCTGCCTGCCCAGGTCTTCCTACTGGAATAAATGACTGATGATGAGATACCACTGGGTTACCTGGATCAGGGGGTTTGTAATCTGGCAGGAATCAAGGGCTCTTCTAAATGAAATGTGAGGTCTCATTGAGCTGGCCTAGAGGTTTTTCTGGTTTGCCCCACATCTGTCAAATCACAGACATGTAGCCTGCTTCCTCTTCCCTAAGTGCCCAAACTCGGGATGGTAGAAGAATAAGGTACACAGGGCCAGAGGCCATGGAAACCAGGATCCTACTTCTTTCAGGGGCAAAGGTTTCGGGCTGGGCCTGTTGGGGCTGGGCAGGGCAGGGTTGGGAGTGCCTGGCCAGAGAGCCCAGCTGGTGCTGGGTGGGGGCTGCCCCAGAGTGAGTTCAGGTGGCCCAGGTCTGTTGGCTGCTAGTTACCTGCTCAGTGGGGTGGCTTTGGGCCAGCAAAGAGGCAGAATCCCCACGAAGTGTGGCTAGACTTAGGGCTAGGGGTCGAGGTCAGAGAGTGGGCCGCACAGGACTGCCCGTTGTGCCTGGTTTGGGCGCTGTGAATTCTTGCTAGCTGCAAGGCCAGGGAAAGTCACTTCTCTTAGCTGTAATTTTCTCCTCAGTAAAACGGGGACAATGATGTCTAAGTGACTCATTTCAGTGTTGTAGTGAGAATGGAGGTGACATACTGTAAACCAGAAAACAAGGGTAGGGCATAGAAATGTGCAGAGAAATTGTGTGGAGAAAGAGTGGGGTATTTAGTTGGACACCGTAAAAATGTCTCAGGGCGGCATCTTATCTCCTCTAGCTTTACAAAGGGGAAGGAGAATCAAGATCAGCAGCCCAAGATGTACTGCTATGAGGCTGAGGTCAGCCATAACTCCTCTCTCCATCTTTACCAATTCTGACACCAGCCGTCCCTCCCACGGCACTCTACTTCTCTGATGAGTTCGATAATTCATTGCAATGGCCACAGAGAACTCACATACCATACTCACAGTTATGGGGTTTATTAGGGAAGTAACATGGTACAATTCAGGTTCAGGAATGCTGAGAATACAGTTCTTCCATCAGGACAATCTCTTCCCAGCCGTGCCCGCAGGCACACCTCTCTCTGGCTCCTCAGCCTCTGCCCTGCTCGGGCAACTGTTAGAAAGAAAGATCTTTTAGCTCTGCTGATAAGTTCCCCGAGGCACCCTACTCTGCCAGTAACCTTCAGCCTGAAGGCCCTCAGGTATAGCTCCATGGGTCAGCAAATGTAGCTTCACCAAGTGCCTGGATGCATCGTACTCTGCCAGCAAGCCTCCTGCCCGAAGGCACTCAGTTTTCTCACTCCATGGACCGGGAAGCCGACTGCGCTGTCTCCTGCTGGTTTTTCCTGCCGCTGTTTCCCTACTACCGCTTCTCTCCAGCTTCGGTGTTACAGCTTTCTCTGTCTTCTGGTTCCAGGAGCTTCTCACCATAGTGATCCCGGGTCCAAAGGACATGTTCCACTCCTGGCTCTTCTTTCTTGGTGGTGGTGAAATCCTCTCCTCCTGCATTTGCGATGGCTTATTTTAAGCCTAGAGGGATGGCAAAACTGACTTAGGGTTCCATAGACCTTAGTTGCATGGTTCCACTCCCACATGAGTGCCATGAACTTTATTTACATTATTAGCAAGCTATCTAATCCCCTTGGTGGGCCACAGTTACCTTATTTGTATACTCCCACCCAGTCTCTTGGGTGGAGTTACCAAGACCATGGCAAAAAAGACCATACAAAAGCAATCCATAGCCCCGCAGACAGGCAGACCTGGGTTTGAACCCTGCCTCTACTCTCAGTTTCCTCATCTGTGAGGAGGGGGTGTTTTGGGTTGCTTGAGTTAGGAGGTGCGGACAGAAGAGGTGTCTTGTTCCTGAGCTTGAGTGTGGTAGACTGGCTAGGCAGGGGCCAAACTTCAGGGACTTGCAAAGAAGACCTTGGCTCAGGGCAAACATCTCCAATTGGCCTGTAGCTCCATATCCACCACGATTCTGACAACTCAATAATAAAAAGACAGATTTGTTGTTAGTTGCCCATCAAATCAATTCCGACTCATGGCCACCCTGGTGTGCAAAGTAGAACTCCTCTGTAGGGTTTTTAAGGCCGTGACTTTTCTGAAGTAGATTGCCAGGTCTGTCTTCCAAGGCTCCTCTTGGTGGGTTTGAACTGCCAACCGTTTGATTAGTAGTAGAGTGCTTAACCGTTTGTGCCACCCAGGGATTCCTAAAAAGACAAATAACCTAATTTAAAAATGGGCAAAGGATCTGAATAGATATTTCTTCCATACCAATGACAGATATACACAGGAAAAGATGTCCGATGTTGTCTTAGTCATCTAGAGCTGCTATAACAGAAATACCACAAGTAGGTGACTTTAACAAACAGAAGTTTATGTTCTCACAGCTTAGGAGGTTAGAATTCAGAGCACTGGCTCTAGGGGAAGGCTTTTCTCTCTGTTGACTCTGGAGGAAAGTCATTGTCTCTTTTGAGCTTCTGCTCCTGGGCAATTTTCATGTGGCTTGGAATCTCTTACCCCATCTCTGCTTCTTTCACTTGCTTGTTTAATTTCTTGTACATCTCAAAAGAGATTGATCTAAGACACACCCTACACTAATCCTGTCTCATTAGCATAACAAAGACAACCCATTCCTAAATGGGATTATAGCCACAGGTTAGGATTTACAACACATATTTTGGGGCGACACAACTCAATTCATAACAAATGTTGTTAGTTATTAGGGAAATACAAATCAAAACCACAATGAGATACCACCTCACACCCATTAAACCAAAAACCCGTTGCCGTCCAGTCGATTCTGACTCATAGTGAACCTATAGGACAGGGTAGAACTGCCCCATAGGGTTTCCAAAGCTGTAAGCTTTGTGGGAGCAGACTGCCACATCTTTCTCCTGTAGAGTGGCTGGTGGGTTTGAACCACCCGCCTTTTGGTTAGCAGCTGAGCCTTAACCACTTTGCCACCAGGGCTTCATACCCACTGGGATGGCTATTATCAGAACAACAAAAATAACAAGTGTTGGTGAGTTGGTGAAGATGTGGAGAGATTGGAACCCTCATACATTGCTGGTAGAAATGTGAAATAGTGCAGCTGCTTTGGAAAATAGTGTGACAATTTCTCAAAATGTTAAACATAGTTACCAGATGACCCAGCAATTCCACTCATAGGCATTTATCCAAGAGAAGTGAAAACATGTTCACACAGAAATGGGTGCATGAACATTCATAGCAGCATTACTCACAGTAGCCAAAATGTGCAAACAACCCAAATGTCTGTCAACTGATGGATGGATAAACAAAATGTGGTTTATCCGTGCAATGGAATATTTCTCAGCCATAAAAAGGAATGAAGTACTGATATATACTATGATACGGATGAACCCTGAAAACACTATGCTAAGTAAAGTAAGACAGACACAAAAGGATAAATAGCATATAATTCCATTTATATGAAAAGTGAGAATAGGCAAATCCATAGGCAGAAAATAGATTAGTGGTTGCCAGGTGCTAGGGGTAGGGAGAAACGGC